TACAATTATTTTATAATTTCAGGTCATACAGTTTGATGCTCGATAATTCAGCGGGTGGAAGATTTCATAATGATGAAAAGTTGCAAAAATCGTTTGAAGACCATCATTCGTCTGGATTATTTATATAATGACATTAGCTATATAGTTCAAACAATATAAGTTTAGTTATTGTGACATCGATATTTTTGATTGGTGCTTCCTTTAATTTGTTAAGATTTAATGAGATATATTATATTTTTTTTCAAATTAATATTAATATATTTTCTTATTTGGGTCATATTTTGGATAAATGTAGTAACTATTATTAATGGTGACTACAATATTGCTATTAGCGCTAATTTAGTTGGATATACCAACTATATAAATGGACGATAAATGGACAAATTAAGATGTTTTACAAGGGATATTGCAGCTGCTATAATTGCTGTAAAACAATTGCCATTAAAAATATTGACTTTTAGCGGCAATTTAGTTAAACATATTAGCCACTAAAATGGCAAACTAATATGTTTTCAAAAGGGATACTATGGCCATTTTAATTGCCACAAAATAATTGCCGTTAAAGATGCGAATATTTAGCTGCTAGTACTTTAAATTTAGCGGCTATAAAAATGGATGCTAAAGGAGAATAATAAGCCATTATAGATTGGATTTAGTAGCCATAATAATTGTCGTTAATGATGTGAACTTTTAGCGGCAATTATTTTGAATTTAGCAGCTATAAAAAATGGTTGTTAAAGCAGTATAATTAGCCGTTATGGATTAGATTTAGCAGCCATTATAATTGCCGCAAACAATTGCCGTTAAAGATAATAATCTTTAGCGGCAATAAACAATACCTTGTACCAGCTTTTGTGACAATAGACGCTAAAGGATTTATCGACCCCAACATCAGTGGCTAAATACCAATGGCCGGTAAAAGATACAACGGCTATTGTTATTGCCGCTAAAACTGTTTTGTATTACCGCTAAACACCCTTTTTGTTGTAGTGTAATAGTACAAACAAAGGTCTGAAATAACATAAAGCTGTCTGAAAAGAAAGTACACAGCCAAATAAAAAGGGAAGGGGGCTCTAGGAGCTGCGGGCGCTGAGCAGCTGTAACTCAAGTCCCCACAAGCTGTCGAATCTGAGCGCGCTAATAACCGCCGCTGGGACCGACAATCTGCACAAGAAGTTCAGAGTGTAGTATGAGTACAATCGACCCCATGTACTCTATAAGTGCCGAGCCTAACCTCGACGAAGTAGTGACGAGGCTAAGGCAGGTCACTCACACTACAACCCGTACGCAGTATATAATAAAGACAGAAATGGAATACGGAATGAAGATAGTCAACTAAAAGTAATAGCTACAGCCTCAAGAAATAAGCCAGTGACTTTCAGAATTACAAATCCTTAATTTCAAGTGAAAATACCGAAAACCAACACAGCTCAAGGAAATAGAAACACGTAGGTTGTTGCGGCGCGCAACCTGATCCCACCGTACAACACAGAATCCTCCTTTATTTCACCGTAATAACATCAACAACAATAAATAATATATATGTTGCGGCGTGCAACCCGATCCCATCATATAACAATATCAGTGTCATAATTCACCTTTATTTCACCGTAACGATCCACCTTATTCCACCTATTGCGGCTGCAACCCAATCCCATCGTATCAGTACAAGTTCACACTTATTTCATCATATCAATCCACCCTTATTTCACCTGTTGCGGTGTGCAACCCGATCCCACCATATCAGTACCAAATACTTAATGTGCACAGTCAATCAATAATTCAAATCATAAGAACCTTTACAATCAATAACTACCAAGCTGAACCAATAAGGGAACCTTTTACAATATGGGAATTCACACAGGTAATACTACACAGCAAGTCAATTCCGGTAAATGACAATAGAAGGTGCAAGTAAGTCAGTTAAGGCAAGTAGCAGTGAATCATGAAAATATGAAAGGGTCTAACATTATTAACAGAAGAAAATATTGATTAAAAGGTAGCAATTAAGCATGGAAGGCATTCAGGGTATATAACATTTAAGACAGGGAATGAGATACTTAAGGAAAAGCAAAAAATCAGGAAAAACAGGTAATTCGGCGGCATATAAGCAATCACCACCTCGCATATCCACCGCAACACATGAAATTCACATAGCACATAGTCCGAGGGTTCCTAATTCCCTTAAGTTAAGGTTAAACTCAACACTTACCTCACTCCCCAGTCATTCAGAGCTTTATCTGAACCTTTCCCCTAGAATCTGTCTCCAAAGCACTCGTATCTAACCACAATTGATTCAATAATATCAAATATTGCTAAAGGAATCAATTACAATGCATAAATTTAGAATTTCCAAACTTTCCCCCAAAAAGTCAAAAAGCGACCCCGGGCCTGCTTAGTCAAAACCCGAAATTCGGACCAAAACCCGATTACCCATTCACCTTCCGAGCCCGGTTATGTAATTTGTTTCGAAATCCGACCTAAATTTGAGGACTAAATTCCAATTTTACAAAAATCCCTAATTCTACCCAAACTCTCAATTTCTACCATGAAAATCCTAGATTTTAGGTGGAAATCTTATGAAATATAATGGGTAATTGAAAGGAAGTAGATTAGAATCACTTACCAACAAATTGGGGAAGAAAAATTCTTGGGAAAATCAAATCTAGGGTTTTCTAGTTTTGAAATTTTTAAAGAATGGGCAAAATCACCTTTTGGTGACTGTTTTAATCACTAGCATCAGGTGTTCATCGCGTTCGCGTGAACCCTGACGCGTTCGCGAAGAGCAGAGCTTGTTTGGCTTACGCAATCGCGGGAGACTCCACGCGTTCGTGAAGGTATAGCCCGCCTAACCTCCGCGTTCGCGAGACTAGACTCGCGTTTGCATAGGGTCACCCCAGATTCCGTACCCCCACCTCAATACACTACGCGTTCGCGTGTGACTGGCCGTGTTCGCGTAAAGCAGCCCCTCCCCCCCCCTCCCCCCGTGCTCCGCGTTCGTGACCGTTGTCTCGCGTTCGCGTAGAAGAAAAACCCATCCAGCCAGTTCACTCTTCGCGATCACGAGAGTACCTTCGCGATCGCGAAGAAAGAAACCAGATGACAGCTGAAGCTGAGGGAAACACCAGATTTTCTAAGTCTAAAACCATCCGTAGCCTATCCGAAATTCACCCGAGCCCTCGGGGCTACAAACAATTATGCACACGAGTCCAAAAACCTCATACGAACTCGCTCGCACGATCAAAACCCCAAAATAATGCCTAGAAGTACGAATCGGACACCAAATCAAATGAAATTTTCAAGAAAACTTTAAAACTTATATTTTAACAACCGAACGTCCGAATCGCATCAAACCAACTCCGTTTCTCACCAAATTTGACAAACAAGTCATAAATATAGTAACGGGCTTGCATCAAGCTCCGGACTCAAAATACGGACCCGGTATCAACAAAATCAAACATCGGTCAATTCTTAAAAATCATTAAACCTTTAAACTTTTAATTCTCGACAAAAATTAACAACTCGAGCTAGGGACCTCCGAATTCGATTTCGGGCATACGCTCAGGTCAAAAATCGCAATACTGACCCACCGAGACCGTCAAAATACGGATCCGGGTCCGTTTGCTCAAATCGATCTCAAATGAATTTTTGAAGCAAATTTAATATTTTATCAGTTTTTAACATAAAAACCTTTCGAAAAAACACCCGGACTGCGCACGCAAATTGAGGATGGCTTAAAGAAGCTATTGGAGGCTTCGTAACTCAAAATTATGTTCTAAAACTCTAGATGACCTATCGGGTCATCACAGTTGCTTTGTTTCTTTCCTTTTTGTTTTTATTTTAATTTATTTTCTTTATAACTTTTTATTTCTATTATTTTAATTTTTTAATTTTAATTTTACTTTTTAATTTATTTTGAAATTTTAAAATATATTTTTCTTTGTTTATTATTTATCTTTTATTTCTCTACCTTTACTTCTTGTGATTCCATGTAATTTCTTATATTTATTTTTTATTTATTTTATTATTCTATTTTTTGAAACTACACCTCCTTATATTAGAAATAATGAGTCATTAACAAACTTGGCATATATTGAGTGATGCAATTAAAGTGGAATTTCGTTGTTGAATGTGGTTATAAACTTATTATGTTTCGTTATATTAAGTTGTAGTACAACTTATTATTATTTTGTTGGAATTTGACTCATGTTAAACTATTTTTTTTTGAATTTTAAAATTGTGTTATATTCACGGTTCCAATTTACTTGTTCTAATAGTATTAACTCACACTGCATGTTATTTTTTAGTTGGAATTGATAAATTAGTTTTGTCAAATATTTGAATAATGTTATGACATTATATTTATAAATATTAATTTATTTTATCAAAATGAATTCCATGATGTTCTTACAAAAATATATATTTTAGTTTTTGTAAGTATCTAAACTAAATATTATTAATTTTAAATATATATATATATATATATAAGTATATTAAAAGAGTAAGAAGAATGTGGACGTACCACGTAAAGTAGTCAATTATGTCAGCGCTCTGCCTTCGGCCTTGTCGGCGAAACAAAAAAGAATCAATCTGGAATTAACTTTTTATGGAAATACACACACAAAAGAAATCGGGGGAAAAGGGAGCTTTCATTGGGCCCAGTGACTGATGACTTAGGCCCGTTTGGCCATACATTTTGGCAATATTTTTTCAAATTTTTTTTTGAAAATATTATTTATTTATAAATTAATGATTTATTTTTAAAAAGTTTTTGAAATTATTTTTCAAATTTTTAAAATTTAATTTAGAGTAGATTTTGGATGAAACTTGTTCTCCCACTAACAAAATTTTAAATTTTTTTCAACTAAAATGCATGTCCAAACATAACTTCAACTTCCAAAAATTATTTTTCAAAACTGCTTTAAAAATTATTTTTTGAAGTTTCGACTAAATCTACGTACAAACGCTGCATTAGATTACTGCTCAAACTTTTGGGCTTCACGTGACCAATCAAATTTTCTGAAAGCGTTACGAATAGCGCATAAATGCTATCGCGAAATTTCGGTTGGCGCAAACACCACGGGTTCTCATTTGTCGTCTCCATTGTTAAGTGCCTACTAGGGTTTTGATCTTCCGCGGTGAGGTTCTCGGGCAGCCATGGAAGAAGTTAGGTCCAGCACCGCTTGGGTCTCTACTCACTCCTCTCATGTTACCGTTGATTTCTCAGGTTCCTTTGCATTCTCTCTATGCTGTTATTCATTACATCCAATGCATTCTCTTTCTGCATTGAATTAATTTTCAGCCTCAAATTAGTTAGAGCCCGTTATAAGAATCCTCCGTGTTCATTACGCTTTGTTCAGGAGCGAGGGCCTAGAACTAACTGCAATGCTCTGTTTTCTCTTTTTTTTAGAGTCACGTTTTATGGTAGTTTAAAGTGGCCTGTATTTGATATATACAATTACATTTTGCATGTGTTATGCGCAGGCATTGAGAAGGTTGCTGAAACTATGAAGAATACATTGCCGAAAGTGGAGTGGGATTTTGAAGGGATACACTATTTTGATAACGGCCCACTCACTGTTCAATACTTATTGGTCTTGGATACATTGAATTTCTGCTTCTGGCCAGGTACTTTAACAAGTTTGCAACTACGATAGCTCCGTAACTGTGAATAAAGTTGTAATTTGACAACGGTTTAATATGTTATAGTGGTCTGCAAATTAGTGTAATAAGAAAATCGATAAACTACACCAAATCGATATTCCGAGTCAAACCGGATATATGGTTTGGTTTGATTTGGTTTGCAATTGGAAAAGAAAACCCGACCATAATTGGTTTGGTTTGATTTTAACTAAAAAAAAATCAAACTGAAACCAAATCAACCCGACATTACATTTATATAACTTTTAGAAATATTTTATACATAAATATATTTATTGTAATGTAATTTATAAATATTTCTTAAACTTTTTCATTGTTTTATTTTTTAACGTATTATTTTAATGTTGGACTTAAAGTAGTAACTCAAATAAAGTTCAAATCAATACTAATGCTAAAAAAAGAAGTTCAATTCAACACTAGGATGACAATGTGTTGGATATCTATTTTTTAGTTTTACATTGGCTTGTAATAAAAATGCATAACTTAGTTCATTTTTTTCTTTAGTGTTTAGTCATTAATTATTTAACCATACTTATTTTAGCATGACTTAGTACTTGTAGATTATGCTTATTTTATTATGCCTTATTAATTAGCAATATTTATTTTATGTGGTTTCATTATCTTTATTATTGAATATTTTAGTATAATGCTATGTTATTTTCTTGGAAAATAAATTATATTACTGTATCCTACTAGGACTAAAGAAATATTTGGAGTACAAGTTATATATTTGCTATGAATACTTCATGCGGGGAAAAACCCGAAAAATAAGAGAAAAATCGAGATTGAAAAAACCCGACTTTGTTGGTTTGGTTTGGTTTATAAATTTAAAATCCGACACCATCAGTTTGGTTTGGCAATTGAGAAATCCGAACCAATCCGACCTATTTACACCCCTATCTGTATTAGAATTTGCTTTTATTTCGTTCTCTGTCTGTGTCCGAGTACATGCCAGTATTTGGAACTGCATTCCAAAGCATATAACTTGCACATTTATGTCAATCAAGAAAGTTTTTAGTACAAAACCCTATTTATGATGCTTGATGCTGGGGCTTCACTAAAAGTTCTTATGGCTGTTCATTTCAGTTGTTTGATAGTATACTCTGGCCTAATGACGTTTTGCTTACATCTAACTGCAGATGAGGACCTGAGTTATGATCATCTAGCATCTGGACTGAAGGCTACTCTTGAAAGTGACAAAACTGCATTTGATGCTGATCGTCTACAGAAATGTACAGGTAAGCAGGTTTCTTTGTGACTCTTCTTCTACTATGCCTCTGTTCCCCACCCCTCCCATGGGAAACGCGTTCTTGTAGGGGCATGAGACTCCTAGGTGTCCACTGATAGCACTCAGGGGAATAAGAAATTCCAGAAATTATATGGTGTATGAGTTTTGTCTAAGGATGTCAAGTGAAAAGTTTCTCATGTGTGGTCCCTTAATAATGCCGACGAGTTTCACTCTTTCTTTTAAGTACCTAAATCGTGATACAATCCTTTCAATCCAGCTAAACTACCCCTGAAGGGAATAGCCTTTGCGATCATTAAGTTTGAGGTCCTTACACAACTATTTGAAGTGAGGTAATCCAAGATTGAAAAGAGTTGTATCATATTTGAGTCTTCAGCTCAAATCTTCTTTTCTTGTTGAAGTAGCCATTATCTCGATAAAAAGTTTGTGAGAAATCCTAGTCTAAAATCTCTAAAATGATACTCACTCTTAAATCATTAGAATCAACCTCCAATTGCGAATTTGTTCCTCATCCTCAAGGTTAAATCAGGAAATGAAAAAGAATTATAATTGAAGCAGCAGCAGAGACGCATAAGATGAATAAAATATTAGAGGGATCATAGTTGATGCAGCAATAGAGACGCATAAGATCAATAAATATTAGATCTTAGCACAGAAGTAATTTCCTAGAAAGCATCTTCATCGGTTTTGCTTGTGTTCAGGAAGTTTCCTAGAAAGCATCTTCGTCGGTTCTGCTTGTGTTCAGGAAGTCTTTATGTGAAGCAACTCACAATTGCTATATATACAGTTTGGCAAATGCCTTGTTTTCAAGTTCTGCAATCTGGTAGCCTTCCCTTGCAAATTTCTTTTTGAAGATAATCTTATTCCAAACACCAATTTTTAGGTCCTCAGTTAAGGAAAATGTTGAACTGGCCGAGAGCACTGCCTTTGGAGGATGAACGGGTGCGCTTATTGCATGAGGTACACTTCTTAATTCTTCATTTGGTGTTATATGCATTCTATTAATGTTCCCATAGATCATAATATCTTGTGAATTATATGCATTCTCTTAATGTGAGGTCGTAATTTGTTCTGAATTAAGATTACGTGGTCTCCTAAGCTTGTAACTAAGCTAATAGCTCTTTGATCATGGCTAAGGTTGGGCTTGAGCTTGAGAGGAGCTTTGAGGGAAAAGCATATAAGCTTGTGGAGTCCTGCGACAAATCTGCTGCAAAGCTTGTAGCTCTTATTGCTTGCCACTTTCCTGGTATCTTTGTTTTCTATAGTTTTCCTTTTACATGTTATGTTTGATCATTATTTCCAATGATGAGATATGATACTATTTTTGTATCTTTGCTTATTTTACTGTTGCAGGCTTCCGTGATCACACGGTGTACAAAGGCCACCAGATTTTCTTCTATAAAAGAGCTCAAATTTTTGCTGCTGATTTATGGGGTGCATTTAAGGGTCAAGGATACGGTGATTTTGAAGACATAAGCTCAATAACCATATTTGCTGATTATATTGTTCCAGCTGTCCTTCAGCAGCTTGGAGTGCTGAGATATAGTTTATCCCTGGTCAGTATTATCAAGAAAAATACTGAAATTATCTCAGGAAGTGAGGAGGAGGTAGAACTCCGAGCCTGCTCTGTCTATGCTGTGGAGAAAATGAAGGAGTTAATCAGTGAAAAGACTGGGAAGCAGGTTGGTCTTGCTCATTGCGATTATATTGCTCTTCTCCTTTCTTCAGTGGTTAGTTTTGGTGATTCATAACTTTTACTCCGGCTAAAAGTCAATTTTGTTGAATGAGCGTGCATTTATTGGGTGTGTAAAGCTTTGGTGTCTCTTATTGGTAGGGTTGAATGGAAATATGCAATACTTGTTTAAGTATATATTCCATTTACTTCACATTGAAGATCAATAATTTCCTGAGTTTCCAGATAGACGACTTCATGAAATAGACTAATCTACAAAGAAATCATTCTTTCAGCGTTAACACAGTTAAGCCGTTGATTTTAATTGAAATCGTGACCATCTAAATTGTTGGTGTTATATCATTGATGTTTTATCTTTGAAATGGAATAAAGTATTTTCCACTTTGTATGGGTCTTTTGACTTTCTAATATATTGCTATTGCCTATTGGAACAAGAAACCATAAATATGAGTAGAAAGAATGGAATCTTTCGTGGTACTCCAAGTTATCTTTTTCATATCTGTCATTCTAGGGCCTTAATTAAAAAAACAGAAAATCTTAAAGTGTCTGTCATTCTTGGGCAATGCCTTTGTCTATGCCACTTAATACTTTTGAATTTGGGAACTGTTTATAGTCCAGTAAACAGTAGCGTACAGCTTAGGTGTCTGTTGCTGCATCATTTTGCTAGAAGAGTTAGAGGGAAAATTGAAGACAATTTCACCCAGTAGTGCACTTGCTTTTCTCATTGTTCAAGACTATTTAGCTTTTATGCTTGTAATCAGGGCAAGTTCTTAAGTTACTTCCGTATATCATGTTGACCTCATAAGTGGATATCTATATCTCCCATTAAAATACAAGAAAAGATAAAAAGGTGAGTTACATGTGCAATGGTTAATGTAAGTTGTACATGGGCTGTTGCTCTCTACCTGATATCATTGTACAAGCAATATATAAAAAAGGCTGCTAGTGGTGTAACAGTTAGTCTGACATGTCAGCTGTGTTCTTTACTTGTTATTCCCCTTCTGTGTGTATTCCAAACTAGTTCCCAATTTTCCAATTTTCATTGATTGAATTTCAGTTTCACTAAAATGTGACATCTTGTTTTATTTTCCAGGTGTTGAGCGTGGAACTGGATCTTTGGTTATGGGCTTTTGGTATACAATGCCCATCTCTTCAACACCACAGGACACTCTCTATCTATTATTGACTACAGCAATTGAGCTCCATCTCCATTGCAGTTTTGCATTCAAATGATTTTTGGGTGTTTAGGGAATTTGACATTTATGCATCTAGGTGTAAGAGTACAGGAATTATACAGGATTCTTTTCCTTCCTAGTGGTGAATTCACTTTCTTTAAAGAGTATGGAGGTTGAATATCGGTTATTTAACCTTGTTCAATCTCATTAGGTTTCTGTAAATTGACCTACATACAGATTTATTTTCCTTAATGGTAAATGTTGGCTGGAATGCATGGCTTTATGCTTAATTGGCCCTCTTTGTCCCGGATTCTTTTATTTACTTTGACTGTTCCCATGATTCTTTATGGTAGAGAGATTTCAATGGGATATCTTCTTTAGAACTCATTAGAATGATTAGTCTTACCATGAAGTTTTCCATGATATGATCCACAAACTACTTATGATCTCACTAGTGATACTGTGGGTGCTATTACATTTAAGATGAACATTCTTTATGGTGGAGACATTTATTGACTTTGACTGTTTCCAAGATTTATCTCAGTTTTGCTTCTTTCTTCAACTTGGTCATATCTTCCTGCTGTAGATTTACATGCACATTCCCTGCTCAAGAAAGAGCATCTATGTTGCAGCTGCTCCCTTGTAGTTAACGGAGCAAGGGATTTTTGGTAATTGGCAGGCTGCCATCATAAGTACATTGTGGAATTCCTGGATTCCTCACAAGTCTTGGCCCAAGAGGCACTTTGTTGACCTTTGGGCGAATATCCTGCATCAAACAACCGATTCTGTTGGAACAACCAGAACTTCCTGCTCATGAATGCCGGCAATTGAGGAACTGATTTCTTAGAATCAGGTTTTAGATGGATTTTGATCTAGACCGAAATTGCTGCTTTACAGTTTTACACTTTCATGCCTAGTAGCCCGGAAAATTTAGCAATATCAAGGTTAGGAGTCGCTAGATGATGGTCACCTTTATTGGACTTGTAGGTTGCAACTTTTATAATTTATCATGATTGAACACTGAGAAATTCTAGTACCTGGTCAAATATTGCAGTTGGAATGGCAAGGGTGGCAACAGCATTGGGGGCATCAACAATTCCTGAAATCCTTCCTTCACAGGGACAGCACGAAAGTAGAAGATACACCTGATAGCCACAACAACATCATTGTGATCACAACAATTATCAGTATTCATAGTTACTCAAATTGCTTTCTTTTTCTGGATGTTTATGTAATATGGTCCCGAAAATTTTCTGTTACAAGAGTAATTTCCAGTGAGAGATTCTTAATACCTGTTCCTTTGTGTAGCCAAACTTTGACAGGTAATCAATTGCATTTAGCACTGCACGCTTGTATGCAACACTTGCATCAAGATAGTGCTGTTGTCCACTTTCATCTACGCTGATGCCCTCAAACACTAACCACTCTGAGAATCTTGGTTCCATTGGCCCTATCTCAAATATTGGGTTCACATGTAGTGGTGTAGGTCCCATTGGAGTGAGATACTCTTTCATTCCTTTTCTTATGATTTCACACCTGATCTTAAAAAGAAATAGGTAAATCTAACAAAGGCAGAGGTGTAGCACATAGTAAGAAGAGCTCTTGATGCAAGCAAAGTGTGCCTAAGGCTGTCTATCCTGTGATCATACTGATGAAATTAAAAAGTTAGTGGCTGGTGTTGCTTTTCAGGTTATACTTTATTATAGTTCAGGTTCGTGTAGAGAAGTTCTGCAATGTTCACGAAGTAAATAGTTTCATGTAGTTTCTCTACATGAAGTTTGCTTAATTTTCAGTTTATTAAGCTTATTTAGTTGTGTAAATGACCTTATGGATCCTGCTTAGATTTCTGATTCCAGTGGGGCCGCCTTACTCTGTGGTGACTCACAGATGGACCAGAATACTTCACGTTTGGAGAAGTTTAAAGCGTATATTTGATAACAAAAGAAGGAATTCACTTAGTTGCTTCAGAGAATCCAAGCCTGGTATCTCTTAATCGCTTTTCTTGCAGTGTATGTAGCTATTAGATCTTTTAGTTGTACGTAGCCGTCTCTTATAATACATTTTATAGACTCTCATAAATGTTGTCTTCAATAGTTTGGCGGGTTTCCAAAATAATACATATTGAATAAGGGTTGTTTTATTGAAATACTTGACTAAATCCTGGTATGCATGTGAATACTTTCCCAACTAATTTGGTATATATGTGGGTACCTTAAGATGGCTGACATTGAGGTAGCATCAGCAGCAATATGAAAGGGAGGGAGGGAGGGGGGGGGGGGGAGAGTAAAATTAACACAAAGTTATTAATAGAGCATAGTTCCAAGTTACTTGATATTATAGAATGGTGCATATGATTTTATTTCCTGGTTGATGTAAGGGATCGACTCTGGTGACAGTCAACACCAAGGCAGAAAAGGATTATTTAGTCGTAACCATTTGTTGTAAATGAGATGTGAACATACTTGAGCTCTAGGAAGCCACTCATCTCTATTGCCCCACAAAATGCTACTTCACCGTCGCCTTGAGAAAAATGCATATCTCCAGTGCTGAGGTTTGCTCCTTCTACAAATACTGGAAGGTATATTTTTGAACCTCTGCTGAGATTTTTGATGTCACAATTTCCTCCATTTTCGCGTCCAGGTATTGTTCTTGCAGCCTCATTGGCAATCCTGTTCCACTCAGGAGTTCCATCTTGAATCTACATATGATTATGAGTTGTCAGAAAAACTTGATGTGGTTAGTTTGTTTGTTCATTCTTCTCTCTTTTTTCTTTCTTTTGCAATCTTTTTTCAGTTTATCATCTTGTTATGACTGGATTACATTCTGTTTTCTGGATGCACTAATTTCATGCTGCAATGCATTCATGCATAATTTGTTTCTCTTTCTTTTATAGATTAGGTTTAGTTTAGAAGAATTAACCCAAATAGCCGTCCACCCAACCGCTTAAACTAAAAATAGCCGGCGGAGGTATAATATATGCATAATTTATGTATTATATGTGTATAAATTATATATAATCAATGTATACACTATGTATATGGCTAGAAGAAGTAAACAATGAATATGGCCGACTATTTGTGTAAAGATCCCTTTAGTTTAACAGGTAAATAACCGTTATGGAGTGAATGAGGTTTTTCTTCAGTTTCTGAAACAATTGCAAGTGATCATACCTTGCCAAGAATGCACCCTTTTGTTGAAGGTAGGTTTGCCAATGGTCTTGAATGCAAGACCTCACATAATTTGAGAGACTGGGGACCGGTTTCTTCAAGCTTCCTTTCTCTCTCATTCCAGATATTGAGTAGTTCTTTTGAAGGCGCTGTTCCAATTATTCCAGGATGAACTAAACCAGGAAATCTTACACCTGTCATTGAGATGTCCAGTAAATCTAATTAGGATTTGATATGTATATTTGTCCAGGATATATTAGGATAAGGTTTGCAGCTTACCTGGAATATGAGGTGAGTAGGCATATATCCCTTCGAAATACCAAATGGCTTTAGTTGCACAGGGGAAATGGTCTGTTAGAAATCCTCCACCGTTATCTCTGTCGAATATGGCAGTAAAACCCCATTCATCTCCGGGGAGAGGCCCCAAGTTGCATATTTCAACAGCAAGCAGGTCACCTGGTTCAGCTGGCTTTCCATCCGTGTCTACAACTCTTATTGGTCCACTAAGATAATGGACCTGCATGAGAGAGTTATGTGATTTAGCCCGAACTGATTCCAATTTTTAACTATTTATTTCAACCATGGAGTTTCATCACGTGACTTAGGACTCTTTTGGTTAGATTCACTGGATGTTGAGTGTAGAAGTTTATGCATACTTACAGTGGATAGATCAATGGTTTTTACATCAATTGCAGAGTTATTATCTTGAATAGCTCCTGCTGTCCAATCAACCATCTCAATTCGGAAAATCTCCCCAGTTTTAATCTCTGTTACAGGAGGTATCTCTGTGTGCCAACGATTGTGGAGAGGTAGCTTTTGTTCCCATGGCTTCTTCTTTAGGTCTATGGGGATTACTAGTCTTGGAGTTGGAGGAGCCATGGCGACTTTAGTGTTCTGTCAAACTTTGAGCAAGTTTACTTTCATTACATAGCACTCAAAGGGAAGCAAGTGACTAGATTGCGACTAGGTTGCTAGTTGACAAATGGGTGTCACATCTCTGTAATGGTCACGGTCTACTTCTTGAAAATGACAAAGATATTGGACAGACTTCACAATTGTATTCATCGTTAAGGACGTATGTTCAACTTGGGAAACTCCATAGCCGGAGGATGATTTAGTTTTTTAACCTGAGGCAAGAGATTTCGGATATATTTTTTATGATGAAAGATATGATTTATCTTCCTACTAAACCAACTAGTTTAATCCAACCCAATGAACTTAGGACATGAAATAGCTCTTTCTAGCTTCAATAGCAACTAGGATTTTGAACTTCTAGAGCAAAAAAGAGAATTTTAAAGACAAACTCTCTCAAAAGGAATTGCTCAGTTGATATTGGTTCTCCAATTGGAAAATCTCGGTATTCAAAGCAATTGATGCACTTGTATTTCGGGTGTTTCCATGTTTCTTCATGTCTGGTTCTTGAATTTAAGTGAAATATGGAAATCGTATCATGGAAATTCCCTAGTTTAGATACTACGCATATCTATTGAATTGCGTGTTACAGCTGGAGTCCTAGACTAAGCTTCATCCTTACCAATTTGTTGCTCATTCTTGTTTCTGATGGACAGGATGATCACTTTTCATCACCTAAAAATCCTTCTACCTATTAGGGGTTGAACTATCACTGTTAACTTCGTGTCAAACCTTTTTCTTATCATGAAAGTACTAGTTCTAAAGGGGTTGATTTTGATAAAAGTAATAAATGTGTGAAACAATGAAATAATTGAGTGCTAGCAGAAACTCACAACAGACTGATCAGCATGCTTGATGTCCTCGGCAGTGTATTCTTGTGTTATGCCACCTCCACTAAAATCCACCATCTCAATCTTGAACACCTCTCCAACTCGTACCTCTGCTACTGGAGGTATCTCCGGGTGCCACCGGTTGTGAAGAGGTGGATTTTGTTCCCATGGCTTCTTCTTTAAATCTACCTGCACTACCAACGTTGGACCTATTGAATTCATAGCTTCTTTTAGAGGGATTGGAGAAAGATCAATTTAACTCTTTTCAAGCTGCTTATTTAAAAACAGTAAGCTTTTTAATGGACAATTTTCACTCTTGTTCTGCCATTAACTCAATTAGCTGCATGGCATTTGTTCAAAGCCCATGATAGGTTAGCTTAAGGACAGAATTTTTCCTCCAATTGGACTATCGGCCTTTAGTGTCCTCCCAACACAGTTTCTCTCAAAGATGCAAAATCAGTACAAATCATGTCTTATTATTAGCCTTTATTTTCCAAGAATATGACTGGCACCCAGATAAAGGTTACCTCAATCCTTCTGCAAGCAACATTAGCCACTCATCAGGGAATAATGCAAAATGTTTTATCTAGATTGAATTCTAGTTTAATGGCTTGATTTAACCGACTAGTATTAGTCTTTAGTGCTTTAAGACAGTACATCCTTACTTTTTTTCTTGAAGTGTCTAGATAAAGAGTGCCTGTTTAGGATGAACTGAGGTACAGTACTTGCATTCTCACGAAACAAAAAGAAGAAAGTGGGTTTCATTTTTATCATCATTTTGAGTTAAGAATATAGATAATGGCACAAAAGCTACACAATTTCCTTTTGTAGAGGACCCCACAAATCAAAATCTTTAGGATTTGCCAATATCTTTTGATGGCTTCACTTCACTGCAATTGCTTGGTTTTTGTCTGCCCACAAGAATGGTCCCTCTACGGCTTAATGTAGTCGTCTAGTACGTATCTGAGAGAGTACTTCTCTATTTTCAGGATTACATATCTGATATGCGCTTGCTATGTCTTCAATCAAAAAGGAAATGACCTCACCATGTTCCTTAGTTTGGCTATAAATTGCATTTTGATTGGCACACCTTCATTTGAACAATGTTAGATATTTTCTACCTTGGTAGTCGGCCCTAAAAACCATATGTAGCTAGGGATCTCCCCTCCTCTTAATGACAAGATAAATACATACGAAAAACTATGTCCTTACTTCATTTATACCATCTACCAACAAATACACGAATTGCACTAGTCATTGTGCGGAATGCCTCTAAGTTAGTCAAAGGAAGGACCAGAGTGCTAGCTAGCCAATCAATACACCAAAAATAGTGGGGCACTCTACTCCAACAAGATAGGGCAACACCAAAGCTCGGCTTCTGAAATTTATTTAGTGATTTGCTTTTGTGCAGATTAAGGGCAAATAAAAGGGCAATCCGGTGCACAAAGCATCCCGTATTCATGCAGGGTCCGGGATAAGGCCGTACCTTAAGGAGTGTGATGTAGACAGTCTACCCTACTGCAAGCATTAGTGACTGCTTCTACGGCTTGAACTCGTGACCTATAGGATCACATGGAGACAACTTTACCGTTGCTCCAAGGCTCCCCTTCATTCAGGGCAAATCTACTTGAAAGTTTTTTTACTATCAACTATGCATGTTAAGCAGTTAATCACTCCAAAGTAAGTGCTTGCTTCCTCTAATCCTCTCTAATCAGCAGGGAGATTTGCTACTTGCAAAAATTGACAATTCGATAGTCGAATATGCTTGATGTCAATTGGCAACTTTCCTTTGCACTATGATTTACACAAATTTCCTTAGTTACCAACATCAATAACAGCTGGACTGATAAATCATGTGTTTATCATATTGTTGGGACCCTTTCACCTTTGAGAAAGTGTCCCTTTCCTACATCTTCAAAAAATAATCTCTTCTTGAATACGTTACATACTTCCTTCATCTCTACAACCTTGTCATAAAATTGTGTTAATTATAAGTGACTTCATTAATGGAAAAGTAAACTAAGAATGAAACTATTATTACCTTTCTCTAAGCTAGAGATTTGTTTCTCTTTTGCCCGAGTGGTCAAGAGCATTGGGCCAGCTTGAAATTGATACAACTCCCTCCCACCCAGTTCGGGCGAAATTGCAAGTCATCAACTGTGTAATCATGTGATCCATGAGAAAAAATCTCATGTTACGTTCTTGACTCCAAACGTATTTGAATACTGGAATGTGACATATATATAACCTAACTCTTACTAGCTGGCCGTCCCTTCAATGCCAACAAGCTAAGGGAATAAGAAAGACTCACCTGGACGTGGCCAAATTCGAACCCATGACACTAGACGAATTCGAATTATTCTCTTTTTGCCACCAAATTGCGATGTCCCGGCTGAAGGGCCAAGTAACTGAAGCAATAAAGGCTACAGGCTCAAAAGTTTTGGGCCTCATTATTTATTAATATAGATTGTTTAGTTAATTTTCTGCAAAGATTGTTTAAGATAAAAAGTACAAAACCTTCATAAAAATGAAAGAAAACTACTATTTAGTCATGTGATTGATTGGCTATTATCAATGCAAAAGAATTATTGGAAGATAGACTTTTAAATAAAATTATATATGAAAGCTTAACAATTCTTAATAAAAATTTGACTTTAATGTACTGAGCCGCACTAGATTACGATGCCAAAATGGCTTCATTGTAGCTCTGAGGATAAGAACGAAACGTCGCCGAGGCAGGACGCTGACAATGACCTTTTAGTCTATTTTCTCCTTCTTCCACATTAACTGCACTTCCCAGTCGACTGTAGTCCATGTTTCTCCTTAACGTGCTGAACTTGTTTCTTGAAGGTAGTTCTGTTTTTGGTTACGTCCTGTCTTAGTCTCTCAGCATGTAAATCCTTTTTCGTGTCATCTTTGTCATTTCCAGTTTTCGGGAGAAACACACAGCGGCACAAGCAGGATTTCACTCGAGGGGATTCAAAAAATATGAAAGCAAACATATAAAAAATCAAGGAGATTCAACAACTAATATATATATATACACAAAAATACTTTTAGCATCCTAATTAGGTGTGAAAAGACTATACATAGTCGATATCAACACCTTGTTATGCTCATTCCATAGTGGGAGGAAGACTAAGAAAGATATTGTCATGTTTTTTTAATGCTATAATAAAATTATAACGCATTGCTTTGAATATCTCTTTACAATATTTTTGTCTTTAAATTTGAATTAAAAAATTTAGGTCACAATTCTATAATATAATTTACAAGGAATTGCCTTAGATATTTTTTATTACCATCTTTTTTTCTCTAACTTATATAAAATTTAAAAAATAAAATATATATCCGTTGGGACCACTTAGGCCCATTTGGGCCCACTTAGGCCTGGGACCGACCCACTTAGCCCGGGACCATTAGTTCATGGGCCCAGTTCCTACAAAAAGACCACGAAGCACGGGACCGCGAAGACCGTTTAATTTGGGCCCACTTAGGACCGGCCCAATTAGCCCGTTTAGGCCCGGGACCGACCCATTTGCCAGCCTTAAACTTTTGTAGGGGTAGTAACAGGAGGGTCAAACGGGGCATCATTTGGATTATCATTAGTTGGGTTAACTTCAGGAGCAGGACTAGTGGGTGTATCGTCATCCGGTTGCGTTTCATTAAAATCTATTTCCTCCTCATCATCTTCATCAATCGTTGGATTAGAATAAAGAGCATTCATTAATTCATGGTTTAATTGTTCACCAGCCCCAACATTATGGCAAAATTGACTCTCAGTAAATTGTAATAAACTATTATCACTATCAAGAATTGCAGGTGTAGGACGGATATGGGATGTGGGATGGGGAGCCGGGGGCAGTGGAGGAAGAACAGATTGGCTACTAGATTCGCCACTCTTGGATTTTCCCTTATTTTTACCAAAAAGTTTTTTAAGGAAGCCATCATAATTAATCAAATAATAGAAAATAAATAAAACAAAGAAAATTTTAATATTAAAAATTATGATTTGGAACGAGTTTACCGAATTGACGAACAACTTGTTGAAAATTGATTATCGTTGCAGACTTGAAGACTTCAATTCACGAACTTCACAATTTTTTCACAAATTATAACAATAAAGTAAGCAATAGTAGCAATTATTGAAGAAAATTAGAGAGAGATTGATGATTTTGTGAGAAAAATGAAAGAATGAGGGGGTATTTATAGTTGAAAAAAAGGAAAAAAGTGTAATTATAAAAAGTTTCGGGCTAAAACAAAGTTTGCGGGGGGGGATTAAATGACTATTTTATATTTTAAAGGCCAACGACCAGATTTTATAAATCCCAAACAGTCAATTTCTTTTTTAAATTATGACCGTTGGGACCGTTTAGGCCCGCCAAGGACCGGTCCCGGTCTTGCGGGCTCAATGTGAATAACCGACCCACCTCCACGGTCACGGGCTTATCCGGGCCAGGACCGTTTAGGCCCAGAAGCCCACATGGGCCACGGTTCCGGGCCGGTCCGGGCCTGGACTGTCCCGCTGAAGTGCACGGTTAGCCACTAATAACACATGTATTTACTTTTAAGCCACTATTTAAAATGTCTTTAGTCTTTAGCCACTGCTTTAATAAACTTTACCTGCCCGGACGAAAACACCCTTCTGCTCATAAAGTTCAGGACCAAGTGTCCTTACCTTTTGAACTTGCAACCCTAAGTTCAGGACTTCAGGACTACATGCTTTTGAACTTGCAACTCTAAGTTCAGGATTTCAGGACTACATGTCCTTAACTTTTGAACTTGGAACTCGAAGTTCAGGACCACCTGTTCTTAAGTTATGTGCTTGTAACTCTAAGTTAAGGACTACTTGTCCTTAACTTTTAAACTTGTATGTCTAAGTTCAGGATCTATTGTCCTTAACTTTTGAGCTTGTTAGTCTAAGTTTAGGACCAAGTGTCCTTAACTTTTGAACTTGTAACTGTAAGTTCAGGACCAAGTGTCCTTAACTTTTGAACTTGGAACTCGAAGTTCAGGACCAAGTGTTCTTAACTTTTGAACTTGTAACTGTAATTTCAGGACCTATTGTCCTTAACTTTTGAGCTTGTTAGTCTAAGTTCAGGACCTATTGTCCTTAACTTTTGGGATTCTTAGCACTCTAAGTTCCGGACCAAGTGTCCTTAACTTTTGAGCTTGTAACTGTAAGTTCAGGATCCATAACGTAGCAGAAAATCAAACGTTATTTGTATCTTTTCACAAAAAAAAAAAAAATATATATATATATAATAATAATAATAATAATAATAATAATAATAATAATAATAATAATAATTGCAGTTTTCTCTATTGGCCACTCATTTACTTGTTCCACTACAACCCACTGATCTCTCATTCTCGATCTGGTAAACACATTCTCATCTTTATGTGATTCGTCCTCTCCCATGGTCACGGAATCCTCTTCTGGAGAAGCATCGCCGGTTTAAATATTGTATTTCCGTTTGGGAAGGAAAAGGGAAAGAAGAAAGGGTAACACCGTCTCTTTATATTAATTTTAATAGACTAGTGGCTAATTTTATTCAGCATTAAAAATGCTGGATAAAAAATAAATACCACTTTAAAAAGTGGCTACCCCACCTAATTTTTACCTCACTTGCCAGCCTCAATGATCACAAACCCAAAGATCGGTGATGAAAGAGGGATGGGCTGAGGCCGTGGCATATGTGAACCATGTGCTAGTGTTTCCCTTGAGCTTGTACAGTAAAGCATAT